AGTTCATGTCATGACGACGCTCCCTGAGCTCCTCCGCGATTTGTGCCCACAACCATTCAAAGGTCCTCTTCTTCGACCGACCAGACGACTCGCGAACCTTGTCAGTGATTCGCGAAAGAATGGGCACTCGCTTCACCTGTTGCCGCAGCCACTGAAACAACGTCTCTGGGGCTGGTCGATCCGACTGCTTCAAACCATGGAGGATGTAGTTGGTCTTCCTGACAAACTCCATGAGGTCCTTGGCACTCCGGCCTGCAAGCGTCAACGACAACAAGTGCATCTGATCAAGCGCAACCGAATGAGTCAAGCCAGTCTCATAGTACGACGCGACAATGTTCAACAACGCCATTCCCTTTGGACCTTGGCTGACTGCAGTACACGCTTCAATAGGAAGTGAGCTCATGGGCCAAATCCGTGTTGGTGGAGAGGACGTCCTGCTTGATGAGCTCTGCGGCGACGTGCTTGTTGAAAGGAATGAACGACTGGTCATTCTGGAGCGTAGCCCTGAAGGTTCGACCTCGTCCAGCATCCATGCAATGAGTGGTATACTTGACCAACACATCACGCGCAGTGAGATCAATGCGCGACACCGACGCAAGCAACGCAGCACGCCACTCTCTACAAGATGTTGCATCTGTTGGCAACTTGGTGATTGAGATGTTTCTCAAGTGCTTGATTTTGTACACGTTGTCTTCGGTTTCACCGTCAAGCAACCAAGATTCAGGAGGGTTGCCTGCCGGCATTCTTGAGCCTTCGTCGGATGAACCATCCGAGCTCTCCGATCCACCACCAGACTCCGATGACTCCTTCTTGCGAGGTGTCGCAATGGAGATGTTTGGTGGGTGACTTGACGAAGATACACCTGGAGGTGCTTCTGGAATAGTGCCGATGTACCCCCCTGGTGGGTAAGCCGGTCCCATTGAAGCTCTTGGGAACGATGGCATGGCCGGAACGGCCCGTTGAAATCCTACACCAGGAACAGGAGCACTCCCTGACTCTGAAACAGCCTTTGGGGTCGACATTCCATAGACCAATCTGGGATCAACACCAAGATGATGAACATGTGAACCATCATGCATTGCACCACACGGCATGCCATACGGTCCCGGACCGCCAGGGGCTCGAGGAAGAGGAACTTCTGCATGGGTTGGTCCTTCATGCAACGCAATGACTGGCTCCCTGATTGTCGCGACACTGGAGGGTCGCGTAGGCACTGGGTACATATACCTCTCGTGAGATGGTGGTTCAAAAGGGTCCGTACCATTCTCGGGCTCTTCAAGACTACTTTTACAGTTCCAACACCAACCCCGTCCAACAACATTTTGGTTTCCACACACATGGCAGTAAACAACGTTCAACGGTGAGGCTGATGCAACCGATGGTGCTCTCCCGGCTTCCGACGGACACGCATCAAAGTAACCTGCAACGGGCGAAGCTCGAAGGGCTTCGTTCTCACGCGCAAGGTCTTGGCACCTGGCTTCAGCTGCAGCTGCCACGCGTTGTATCTCGCGTTGGGCTTGTTCTGCTATCTGCTGATGCCTTAGGATCTCTGCTTGTGCCTCTGTTGTGATCTGGTTGATTCTGCTATGTGCCTGTTGTGCCATGTTGGCTTCTTGCTGTTGTATGTGGCTCAACTGTAATGCTGTATTCTGTTGCTCAAGCTGATGTTGTTGTCGTTCATGCTGTATCACCTGTTCTGCATGGTTCAACTGCGATTGAACGTAACCCTGAACAATTCTTTCAAGTGTCTCTGGGTCAATGTTGTGCTGGTTGAGTACTTGTAGATGATTGAGGGTCCTCTGATGATCATAAACATGCACCCCAGGAACAGTCGACGGATCACCTTGTACCCCAGAAGGTTGGGAAGGCTCAGAACTCTGAGTTCTCATGCGACTCACTGCAACTTTTGTGTTTCCCTTAGCCGGCACGCTCACTTGGAGCCCGGCTCCTCCACCAGTCCCAGTTTCACCCTCCATCCTCGCAGGCCCCGTCTCCGGAGAGATGGATGAACTCGAGTTTTCGTAGGAGCCTTCAGGACCGATGACACGAAAGGGTGTTGCAGGGAGCGACCGTTTTGACATCGACTCTCCGGTGCAATGCAATGACTCTCAACTCAAGCAATCAACTCGATCTCAACACACTCAATTCGACCCGACACAGTTGAAGAATTCTCAACTAACTACGGATAGTTTGTTCACAAACGCTCAAAACAACACAAACACTGTCTCGACACTCTGAGCAGCACCACCTCCTCTTTTCACTGCTGGCATGCGACGTTTGTCGCGGAGTTTATTGCCACGCGCTAGAAGCTGCGATTTCTGGCAGTGAGTCGCGGAAACGCGAACAACGAGTCGCGTCGGCCGCGAAGGTACGCGAACCAGACGCGAAGGCAGTACGAGCTCTGGCCAACGACAATGACCAATGTTCAACCACCAACAACCAATGAGATATCTTCAACTTCCTCCGACGTCCACCAATCAATGTTTGATCAATGCACAACGTCTCAACACGCTCAATGCACCAATCTCTTCCGGTCGACTACTGTTGGCACAAGCAATGCAAAATGCACCACACCAACAATGCTCGACCCTTGCTCTCTTCACCGGCTGAAGATGCGTCCGAGTTCCCGGGCAGAAGGCAGCTCACTCGTCCTCGGGAACGTCCGGATCAGGCGCTCCAATGGCACGAGGGCTTCGCTCGGAAGCGTTGCAGCGCGTACGCAGTGAGTCTTGCTACCGAGCGGAACGTTCTGCTGGAGCGTTCGGACGTCGTTCAGAAGTGATCCATGATCGTCCACGTAAACGATGGGTCCAAACTGAGCAACCAACTTGGCCTTACAACCAATGTGACCAGTGATCGAAGCACCCTGCTCAGTGTCGGTGGAGAACTTGGTGCGGGTGATCGCAAACACGTCAAGCGACCAACCAAGCCGACGCTCCAAATCTGTCACGCCCGTTGCCACACTCTCCTGTGTGGCTTTGTTTGAAGCAAAGCTCAAAAACGCCCACAGCAAACCCCTTCTCCTTGAGCCCCTTCAAAGTCTGAACCGAGGCCTCAGCAATCGGCGGATCGTTGTTCGGGAAGCTCAACGTTTTGTGGAAATCCAACAGAACAAGAGGTTTGTCCTGCCAGACTGGCGGGTCTCCGCGGGGCTCTGCAGGGCGAGCCGACGTTGACGGCGTCGCCAGCTCTGGCTGCTGCGGCCGCTCTTTCGGCCTTGGTGCAAGCACGACCGGCTGGATCCTCTCTGTCAGCTTTGGCTTTGACGTGGCTCTCGCAGTCGCTGGCACAGGTGGTACTCGAGGAGCTGGAGGCGGTGGCGGCAAGTTCTGCAGCTCAAGTTGCCTTGCAGCTTCGGCCTGCTCGATCTCCTCTTTGGTAGGAGCTGGTGGCGGAGTTGGGATGTCCCCCAAACTCCGTCGAACGCCAGACGCCGACGAGCCCTCACCCTCGCGCGCACGCGATGTCTGTTCAACACCAACTTCACGCACAACGTCACCAGCTTCAACAAGCTCTCTCTTTGTCTTGGCCTTAGCCGAGGTAGCCTTCGGAGGTGGTTTGACACGCTCTTCAACCGGCGGCTTCTCTTCGACCTGCTCCTCACTCAACGACGGTGATGGCTTGCTCGCGGACGGGCGAGCAGCCTTCGAGCGAAGTTCACGAGCTCGTTCACGGAGCGTGTCAGGTTCGGCCGACACGGATCGCTCTGTGGCTGCTTCTGTGGCCTGCCTCGCGATCGAATCTTCCGTCGCCGAAAAGTCAACAGCCGATGCAACCTCAGGCGAACAACCAGGGACTTCCGGGGCAGCTTCAACGGCCTCTTCAAGATGCACACGGGGTTCACCTGTCACAGTATCGACAGACTCTCCCTCAAGTTCCACCTCCTCTTCAGGGATGTCGTCACGCGAGTCCTCGTCACGCTCCGGGCTCTCAGGTACCCAGACCCACAGTTGACGCCACTCGCCACGCGCTCGGGATCGCGATCTCTCTTCTCGACCACGCTCAATGTAATCGCTCTCTTCCTCTGTCTCGCTCGGTGGCCTCGGCGGTGCACGCCGGGTCTCCCACGTCTCAGTGACGTGGGGAGGCGGAAACCTCGGCTGGCGAGGAGACCTCGCCTGGTATACTTCTCGGTGACTTGCTCGGTCACCACGTCCCCTACCAGACCTCCACTCGCGGCTGTCGCGGCTCGTGCCGCGAGTTCGACCACGTCCACGATCGGCTCGACGGTGCTCTACACCACGATCTCGATGTGGCTCTCTTCCACGGTCTTCAGTGGGAAGACCACGCTCCCTCCTCGAGAGCTGACTTGGGCGGTTCGGGTCACCTCCTTGAGGCCCACGCCGTCGGCGCGACCTATCGCGCTCCCTCTCACGCGGAGGCATGAATCGCGCTCGGAGGCGCGAGGCAACGAGTGAAGTTCAAACAAAGTATGTGTTCTCTCTTCACTCAACTCAATGTTCAAGTCACACCTTAGTGCTATGTCAGTGTTTCGTATGCCAAGCTTGACACGATGCTATGTGTATGGTCTCGTTTTTCAACCAATGGTCTCCTTGTAGCTCTTGCGGCTGATAACCAGTTGAAACTCTGAAACCTGGCTTTTCCTATGCAAAGGCAGCGGACGATACGACGATCGACATGCAACGCGACCCTTGCACCTTTTCCAAGTCCTTGAGCCAAACGTTGTTGGCAAGATGTCTTTCAGTTCACAACGGCAATGCTACTGTAGCATACCGATTCCAGACTATGCAACTCTTTACATGGTGATTCAAACCTAGGACAAAGTGGTCCAGAAATGCTACATGACGTAAGTCAACCATGCATCTAGATTCCTCCTACCACACTATACGTGTAAGCATACAAGCCTCACTCAAAGCTCAGTTCATCTGGAGGTTGTTTTAGCTGAGGGATTTCATCTCTATCAGTATAAAATAACTTGGACTGGAATAGTGGGTATCGCCACCTCCGCCTTCGAACTACCCCACTGCTTGCCCATCCGCCTCGGGTTCGGACACAAGCTTTTTCATGACGACTACCAGGGCTGCTAGGCCTTTGCATCAATTGATCCTGTGATGAGGCTCCAGCGAGCTCGAATGATCGGGGCGGGGCACTGCCTTCGAATGATCATAGCGTCCTTGTTACTAGTCCTCCTACTAGCGTCTTTGCTCTTAGTAGCGATGCCCTTTGCTCCTAGTGGCATCCTCTACCTGTTCAAACCCCATAATCCTTCCTTGATTTGTTCATTCACTGGTGCCGTATGGGAAGAAAAGATCCCCGTGCAAGTTGGCATATGTTGAAGTGATGGTGTTGAGCATCTTGAGTAACTGTGCAAAAACATGCAACAGTATCTGCAGTCAAAAGTCGGTAGTGAAACTGTAGCTCAGACACGGGTGTTTGGAAAGCATTTGGTAGAGGACAAATGGCTTGAATCCGTGATTTCATCCTATTATCTTTAACACAAAGCCAGATTGGATTGTTTCTTGGGCAGCCGGTGATGTATGTAAAAGGCCGTGGCCACGTTTCACTCATCTTATTATCTAAGTGGGCCTCCGCCTTGGCATCTGGAACCGGTTGACAAATCTTGTGCAGCGGCCTTACAGCTTGTAACCTGTCTTCGTGCTTGCAGGAAAATGCGAATGACCCTCAAAGAAACCGATCGTTTTTGTCAACAAAGGGATTCCTCTACCCCTCCCTGCGCGCGCGCGCGAAAAAGCTCCTAGTAGCTTCTCGCTTCTAGTAGTACGGCCAGGAGCCCCTAGTAGCTTCTTGTTCCTAGCAGCGATGCCCTTTGCTCCTAGCGTCCTTGACCTCAAATCATGCACTGGTGGGGCCCGATTCTCTGGACCCATACTCGGTTCCATGTGGCCCATCACGTACCCGAGATCCAAACAGTTTCACCTCTCCCCGTCCGGCCTCCATCAACGCGGCTATCTGGAGAATCTTCGAAGGACTGCGCGCCAACCGCAGAACATCTTTACGTGAAAAATAGTCTGAGATCATTTACTCTCTGAGAAGCCTTGTTCAGTTGAGTTTCAGTTTGTGGATTTGGCTCTTGCAGCGGGGTCATATGCCATTTGACGAGTCTCTCCTTTTTGTCCAAGACGTTACATGTGGGCAACATATCATCCACATACGGCGAGTGTCTTCTTTCACAGCAACGGGTTGCCTGGCCAGGAGCTACTCTGAAGTGTGAAATGCATATACTAATATAGTTATATATAGTTGGTTATTAGGTCACTTTATTGTTTTTGCCGGAACTGTACATCACCTGAAACATAAGTCGTGTCTTTTTTGTCGCATGTCCTCTCCTCATATCCTGGCTCACACTCCACTGATTTGCCTGGAGTGGTATACCGCTGTACACTATATGCCTTCAAATTGTATAATTACCAGAGTGGAACGTCCCCCCCCGCCAGGAAACTTCACAGAAACCTTGGACTTGACTGGAGGAGGAGATTCCGCGACAAATATTCTTTGACTCGCCTACCTCTCTGAGTTCCGTCACGGCGCAGGGATGCGCAGGGTGTACGGTGTTGGACGGGGTATGCATCGAATTTGCAAAGTTGCCCTGTGAAGCAGAGCAAGGAAGGCACTTCAGGCCAAAACAGCCGGAGCAACAACATTCGACAAAAAAGGGCACAAGCAAAACAACGTTCAACCCTTCCAAACCTCACAGAGACTCTCAATAAGCTCGAGATTTGCAGCCTTGGACACAGCAGTTCCCCCCTGACCCCTGTCGCCCTCGTCTCGACCATCCGCTCCTTCAGGATTGTTTGCTTCTCAGCCATTGAAGCCTCGCTGAAGTAGTGGATCCACTTGTAGAGCAATGCCTGGAGGGCAAATCTTGTTGGGACATCAATCAATACCAGTCAAATCCGGGAGCCAACACCAACATCTCAGATTGAGACCCCTAACTCTGAGATATTACTAGGAGCAAGGGCATCGCTACTGGGGGCTCCTGGCCTTACTAAAGGACGCTACTAGGAACAAAGGGCATCACTACTAGGAGCAAGAGGACGCTACTAGTAGCTGATCAAAGTTTTGTGTTGAACGTTTCCTTAAGCTGCTTAAGGTAGTGACTGCATGTTGCTATGTGCTCCATCCCAGCCATGCACCCCGGCTGAAAAGATGATGCTCAAGCCCATGATTTGAAGCTTGGTGATCGCATGGTCATACCTCATGCGATTTGAGACCCTGTCTGCTCAGGTGCCACAACTCTGTGAAGGTGCCTTATAAGCCTTATCATGTGAGGGGGTTCTCAATATCCTCCCCTGTAATGAGTCATTGCTTCGGCCTAGACAACATCATTGCTTCAGCACGCATGTAACTGCCTTAACAAAAAACACAAAAATAACCAAACAATGCCCGGCTCTGAAGATAGAGCAGGCCCTTTTTGGAAAACAAGGGTTGAATTCAGTAAAGAATAGGAACAGCTTGGTTGTCACAATCACTCAATCAGGGTTTGGATGGCTTGGAGCCTGCAAACCTTTCACAGTAGGAATGCCCGGAATGCCACACTGTCCAGCATAAAACACAGTTGGTAGAACTAGTTACCTGAATCTTGTCGCTAAATACCCTAAATTCTCTTGGACGAAATCGAATTTCTGAGGTACAGATCGAACCAGGTCAGACTTGTTCGACTGTATACCGTCGTACAGGTCATGGGAGCACGCACCGTTCGTGTGTCGTTCGCCAACCAAAATGCAATACGTCCTATCCGTTCGTGTGTCTCTCCCAAGGATCTCACAGCAAATAGGAGGAAATGATCGCACAAACCTGGCTGTGAACCCGGTGAACCCCCAAATCGTCGAACGATCTTGGAAATGCAATACGGGATTCATAAACTTACCGCGTTGGGATGTGGAAATTGGACTGGTGAGTATCTGTTTAGCCTTGTAGTTAGTGTCTGTAATACATTTAAGGCGATTGTCTCCTCATGTCCAAAGTAACCCAAACGCATGATGTTGTCTATACCAACCCGTGTAGGGCCAAAGAATGGTATCCTAGTAATGGCGTCTATCAGGTCAGGGGTCCACGTGATAGGGCAGCCCCAGTGATATTGATGTTCACCATGTTTTTTGACCAACAACTTGCCCCGTTCATCTTTTTCTAGGGCGTTCAGTGCCGCCGGTGCAGTAAGGGTCCTTGTGAGATCTTGCCAGATTAGTGCTCCTTGGTTGTGAAAACAGAAAAGCAAAGAAGAAGGCCATGTATATAGATGGCTCGTGCGCAAAGGCCTTGTCATGCCTTGTCACCAGGGCTGAAACCCACAGCATCGAAGTAATCTCTCGAAATGTCCTATGGACAGCTCAACTGTAGACCTCTAGCCACTCAGTGTCAAAGGTCTTAGTCTTAGACTTAACTACCCCTTGCCACAAACAAGAACATTTTATGTTCATTCATTTTCCGTCTCTACCGACCCCGTGCAAGTTGGTGGTTCTTGTAGGACTTTTGATGGGAGAACTCTTCCCCTCCGATCTCGCCATGGCCCCCCGAAAAGCTCCCACCTGGCGGATGTTCATGGTCACGGCCATCGCCAAGGCCCCAAACTCCTGGACCTGCACCAGTGCAGCCGCGCAGACACCCATGACATCCCATGACCGATTTGAGGTGCAAAGGTTACTGTGGAATCTCTACGGCAAAGAACCTAAAAGTACCGTGTCTAAAGGGATGACAAGTCATTAAAAGTGTGAAGATTGAAGACTCCAGGATGACCCTTTGATAGTATCTAAACGGAAGCGACCAAAAACGTTTTTGATTACTGTATGAGATCCTTTCCTCGATTGCAAAGCATGCAATGCAGTTCACAAACGATAATTGCACCCCAACCAGCCCAAAGTCAGCCTGTTTCAGTTTCGGGTCGCTTCCCATTCATGTCCGTATTCGAAACATGTCAAGCTCCTATAGCTCGTCGTGGATTTAGAGCTGTATCGCAACGGACAGGGAGGCTCCCACTCTGGCCCATTCAAAATACCCCTTTGGCTGATCATCAGACTCTAGAGATCTCTAAAAGTCTCTCAACTCTAGACACTTGGTCTCCACAAATAGATCTCACACCTGGATTTCCACCAACAGCCTCCTCGGTTGAGTCCAAAGCAAAGCAAACGACCAGTGCATACCAGTGGCAGTTGAAAAGATTGTGAGTGATGATTCATGCTTTGGACAAAACACTTGAATTTCGTGATCAGTCTGTGTACCTTCCGAACTTTTTCAATAGACTTGTGCCTCCCATCAAGCTTCGAGAGTCTACTTTGGCCAGAAAACGGATTCGCGAACCTTTGGCAAATCCGACGCCAGTGGCGCAAGCTTTGTGATTTTGAAAGTTTGAAACCTGTCTACACCTATATAATCCAAGCCTACCGTCTCTTTTGAATATATACCGTATGGTTATGTATTTGTTCTCTAACTCACCCTCTCTCATTGATATAGAACTGTACAAATATCAAATGAGAAAAATATGCAGCTAGAGAGTTGATCCTGGAAAGGTCTGAAGAATTGTGGCCACGCAGCCAACAAACATGTCTAACTAACCGGCAAATTCCTTTCTACCACGCTGTGAGGAGACAACACCTGTGCTCTTGGTGAAACAATATGTGGCAGTGCAGACTTGATGACTATCAGTCCTCAGAGAATGGTCTAATTCCAAGACGAAGGCTACTACATAACACAGAGACGCTGTTGGCCAAAAGTAGGGCGGGCCCTGAACCCGATCGGATCTCATGCTCGCTGTATTCACGAAAATGATCGTTCTTAATCTTCAAAGCCCAGGGAGGGTAGGCCGTAAGACGACCTACTTGACGCAGGATAGTTCATGCTTCTTCTTTGAAGAAGCGCTCGCACTAATCAATTCGGTTCCAAACTTTTAATGGAAACTTAATGCGGGGACCTCAACCAGCGAGATCTCTTCTTCAGCTAAGTCCATGGAGCTTCACGAGTTGCCCGTTGGACTCTCAGACGCTCAGGTCATCAAGGGCTGAGTCAGCATCTTCGGCCCATTCGCCTTGGCCTCTTTCACCTCGTTCCGCCATGGATTTCCCCGTTCCATCTGAGGATTTCCCCGTCTGGAGTCTGCTGAGTCTGCTGAGTCCTACCTTTGATCATACCATGTTCCGATCATAGTCAAATCATAGAGTCATATCGAAGCCCCACGGTGAAGGGCCTGTATACAAGCAGTTCCCGGGCAAGCCGGCGGCGGAAGTTTCCTATAAGAACACATTGACCTATAGGGGTGCCCACGTTCTCTCCACCATGCGTGTCCCTCGCGTCCCTCACTCAGCCAAACGCACGCGCTCCGGACTTTTGACACACACACACACAGCGCCACCTGTGCAAGGTCTGTGCTCCCTGCAGGGTCAGCAGCTCACAACAGCGTACTGGGTTGTGTCTATGCCAAAGCAAGATTACCAGCCCACACCGGCGTGCTGAAGCAACTGGGCATCTGCAAGCGAAAGTTAAGTGCAGCTGGTGCGGGCACGCGAAGTGGGTGGTGTTTTCAAAGTCAAAATCATGTCTTCCAACATTTGGTGTGCTCCTCCGCGCAAAAACAACGAAACTGTTCCTCATCGGGGCAAGGCAAGCGAGAGATGTATGATGAGTTTTGTATGATGAGGGGTGTATGACGAGTGGTGTATGCTGAGTGGTGTATGTTGAGTGGTGTATGATCAGTGGTGTATGAAGAGTGGTGTGTGATGAGTGGCGAATGATGAGTAGTGTATGATGAGTGGTGTATTGACCAGCAGCTGAATGTCCTGTCATGCATAAATGCAACCAAATAATTACTGTCAGTATGAACTGTGCCAAACCTGTACGCCGCGAGAGATAACTCAGGCGCGAGAGATGAGCCAGCCGCGAGAGATGACTCAGCAGCAAGAGATGACTCAGCGGCGAGAGATGACTCAGCAGCGAGAGATGACTCAGCAATGAGAGATGACTCAGCGGCGAGAGATGACTCAGCAGCGAGAGATGACTCAGCGGCGAGAGATGACTCAGCGGCGAGAGATGACTCATCAGCAGTGAGAGATGACTCAGCAGTGAGAGATGACTCAGCAGCGAGAGATGACTCAGCAGCGAGAGATGACTCAGCAGTGAGAGATGACTCATCCGCGTACTCAAGTTGTACTACAAAGTCACCAGTTCTCAGCTTCTAGCTGCACAGATTGCTCCGCGTACTAAAGTTGTACTACAAAGTCGCCAGTTCTCATCGTCCAGCTTGCCAGATACTCCGCGTACTAAAGTTGTACTACAATGTCGCCAGTTCTCA